ATCAACCCGGTAGAAGACATCGCTGGGCCCGAAGGCCCGGTCTCGAGAAACGACCAGCACTGCAGGAGGCAAGACCGGAGGAGGAGAAAGATCAAGCAGAAGAAGAAAAACAAAGGAGCGCCGACGTGCCTAAAAGGCCGGGGGCGCCAACCGAAAGGGAAAGAGAGGAGCGCGAGGCTGCCGGGCACGCGGTGCACCGAAACTGGTCCTTTCGAGATCGACTTCCTGGCGGACGCGACCCGTGAGAAAAGATACCAAAGAAATATTACAAGCGCATCATATTGAAATATGATGATGAACCAGCCACTCTTGCCCTACAAACCAAAAGCCCGGGGACAGCAGACGGACGTAGAAGTTGTCATGGAGGAAGCTCCCACGGGCGATCACCAAGCGAATGTGAGATAGAAGTCACGGTGCGCGAGTTGAAGCGCACAATATGCGTCCTGAAGAGCTGAAGAGCAGCACCAGACAGAAATTGAGAGTGAAACGCAAGGACACAAATTCTCTGCTCGCTTGGATACCGAGACACTCGGCGTTCTTGATCCCTCGATTCATCGTAGGTAAGGACGGGAAGACCCCCTACGCGCGGGCCACTGGCAAGAGGTGGCGACGTCCCCAAGGAACGCTTGTTGTCCAGACCGGTGAGGAACAATTGTCGCAAGCACGACTTCGAGTCGAAGGTCGCGGTCGGTAGCTACTCTGGTACGCACGGCAGGATGCCGATGTGATGCTCATGGCAGAAGAAAGAATCGTGAAGGGCACCAGCATCCACAGGAAACCGGAACCTGACTGGTGCGACATTACAAGACTGTCGGAACTGAAAGGGCTGCCGTGGAAAGTGCGGCAAAAAGAGCGCGAGGTCATGGCAGCGCATATGCCCATCGAGGCGCCAGCCGTAACAGCACCCGCCGTCGCAGCTCCACCGGCCCCTATGGCACTCAAATATGTGGCCAAAACTCGGTACGTCAAGCGTACAGATATCCACAAGTTCGGCATGTGGCCGTCTTGCAAGAGGTGCACGTCCTTGGCGACACGGATGCACCAGCAGGCTTATTCGATCAAATGTCGGGGGGCCTGGATCCAGGAAGAGCTGACGAAGACGGCTGCAGGAAGACAGCGCGCTGAAGAGGCGCAGAAGAGGAAGAGTTCCGAAGAGGCTTCTGAATATGTAGCAGAAGCGAGGCCGAGTCTCCTAGAAGGCGAGGTTGCGGCCAACGAGGCGCTAGGAGCGCCGATGGGCGTAGATGAGGAAAGCCTAGGAGGAAGGAAGGAATGGGAAAGGGAAGGAGAAACAAAGGAAAGAGAGGCGCTGGAAGCGCCAATGGCCGTAGACGCGGCAACCACCGCGGGCGAGGCAGCGGCTCCAGGTGTTTCGCCAGGGGCTGATGCACAACCACAGAATCCCTTGCAAAAAGGAAGCCCGTCAGGCTCAGCAGGACCAGGCTGGAATGAGTCCCATCGTGACGTCGAGATGGGACAAACTTTGATCTTAGGACTGAACCGTAGACTGATGTATCCAGCATGTGTGGTGTCTTGAGAAATGTGGGACATGGCAAGTTCGATGCTGCTGGCATCGTGGATCCTCCTCCCGTTTCTGTGAATGGGAACGATATCCAGTCAGGCATGTTTGGTCTGAGGCCAAGTTTCGCGCTGGACACTGCCGTCTGCGATTCTCTCCGGAAAGGGGAGCAAGGCCAAAGTGTGAGACATGTCCCACTAAGGGCATGTGATTGATCTTCGTTCGGCGGTGAAGGAAAGGCGATCCATACGTCTTGGCGTGGATACCTTCACTGGTAGCGTTCGCCGGGGCAGTGAGCCGCACTGACGCGTCCAGCGTGGAGCGGACAACGCGTTCCACCAGGGTGGCAGTTGGCTTGTGTCTTGAAAAGGCACGGCCAGGGAAGGCACTACATGCTGGAGGCTGGAGGGGCCAACCCGAATGCCCAGGTGGGCAGAGCAGGAGTTCCAGAGAATATGCGCCACACAAAAAACACAGACACCAGCCGACGAACTTTGCATGTGCCTTCGGGGAGGGTGGTCGTGCGGAAAATCGTTGGCTCTCAGTGGTGATTTTTACACACCGCCACGCTCCCTTGAAAACCAGGATCAGTCCATTGGAGGGCGTTTTCGTAAAATGTATATTTATACATGCATACAAATTTATGTAAACATGTATTATGTATATATGTATATGTATATACACTCCTCACCTTCGTGGCCAAGAAAACTACAATCTGACCCACATCCTGAGACCTGCCAGAGCTCTACGAGGGCCTCCATCGCTCTTTGTGCTGGGACCGTAGGCGACCAGGCGCCACGCATTGATCTGAAAGAACAAGTTTGCACGAGCGCATCTGCCAAAGCGAATCCACGAGTGCGAACTCAAAACGCTATCTCGAAACAGTTGCCACAGGAAATGTGAGATGTGCCGGCGGGAGCAGGGCACAGAAAAAAGTGTGGAGGAAGGGGCGCAGGAGGAGCAGACAACAACTTCAGTATATATGAGCGATGGATCGCACCAGACCTGGCCACGACACACGCTGCAAAGAGACATCAGTGATTGCTGCAATCGATACATTCCTAACCTCCGTGGCCAAAGACACTACGGTCTGACCCACATCCTGAGACCTGCCAGAGCTCTAGAGGGCCTCCATTGCTCTGTGTGCTGGGACCGTTGGCGGCCAGACGCCGCGCATTGATCTGAAAGAACAAGTTTGCACGAGCGCATCTGCCAAAGCGAGTCCGCGAGCACGAACTCAAAATGCTATCTCGAAACAGTTGCAATATACGTTGCATTAGTCCAAAGACCTGGCTGACGAAGGGCAGAGAACAAACGATTCGGAAGAGCGGACGAGGCGGCCGCAACAACGCGTTGGTCGCCAGCTGTCAGCTTCTGAAACGCAGCATGCAGACGGGCGTGTTTTTTCATACCGCGACGCACTGCAATGATCTGCCCATTTGCCTCGGCGACGCCCCTCCTCAAGTGCGTAGGCGTGTAGGCTTTTGTCCGCATCAGTCGAGGGGCCACCGTGACGCAGGCAGCAAGGAGACTGCCTGAGGTGTGAGATGCCGAGGCGGTCAGCCGATTCTCTGAATTTTTTAAATTCACGAAGGCCGAAAGGGAAGATGCAACGATCGCCCTGAATGTGTGGATAGACAAGCGCCAGGGAGCCTTCACGATCCACTCCCGACCGCGGACTTCGCCTATCACGATGCTGTCATATAGGCTCCGGTCTTAGAGGGCTGACCCGACTCAGGAGGAGACAGTCGTAGACTCCAGCGATCGTAGCACTCGTGAACCTCAGAGGCCGGTGGCATGACGTTGGAGCGGCGGAGCGTGCAGCCCGCGCCTGGCCGCAGGTAACAGTCGACAGGGCGACCAGGAGGGCGGCGAGCGGCAGCCTGTGCTGGAGCATGTCGTCCGCGATCCACCAGGCCAGCTCCAGCGGCGTTGGGTCGCGCGCACCGCCCCGGTCGAGTTTGCGCCGGCCCGCCAGCGCAGCGCGGCTCCTGATGTAGAGCTTCCTATCCTTGTGAGGCATCTCGGGATGGCGCCGCGCGTGGCCGTGCCAGGCGGAGCGGGCCACGCTCTGCAGCTCCCCGCTCAGGAACAGCTGCTCCACGTACCTTTCCAGCGCCTCATCGACGCGGGCAGGGGCATCCAGGGGCAACCCGGCGCGGCGAGCGAGTGCGACGACCTTGTCATTTCCCTCGCGGCCGTTCCAAAGAGCGTTCCCGGACGCTGAGAGCGTTCCCGGACGCTCTGGGGCGATGTATCCTGGCCCGAGCCACGCCAAAGAAATCGTGCGGGTGGAGCCTGGGTCGGGCGCCCAGCGTGGGGTGCTGTGAGCGAGTGACAGGGGAAGCGGATGGGGCCGAGAGAGGGGGGGTGGGTGGGGTGGGAGGAGGTTGGGAGCGCGCAAACATGGATTGGCGATCCATGGATCTGGCGCGCGGCCGCCAAATCCATGGATCGGGGGAGGTGCCCTCCCCAGCATGCGGCCGGTGCCGCCTCGCTCGGCGGCGGGAATCCGTCCGCGCTGTCCCATGGAAATGGGACCCGTCGCAAATCCACGCGCCCTTGATCCATGTTTGCGATCGCCTGAGAAGGATGGGGACCGAGGAGGTGGGGGCAGAACTGGGCACCAATTTCAGGAGCAGGGGGGGGGGGGTGCTGGCTCCTCGGAGGAGCACCCTTCGGGCGCTGGCAGAACTGGGTTTAGTGGGACCTGGCTTAGTGATGTGCACTGGGGGACGCCCTCCGCCCCGTTCCACTAACGTGTGGAGTCCCAAACCCCGATAGCAGGGCGCCCGACGGGCATGGAAAGGCCTGGCGAAGCACTCTGGAAGGATCTGGAGAGAGCTTCCGAAGGTCCTTCTGGAGCTTGCGGGCACGCGTACTTGGAAACGCTTAGAAGAGGACCTCGGGACACGCTGCAAGTTCAAGCAAGGCGCGCCGGGGAGCCCTGCCCGCCGCCGGAACGACGTCTGGGGCTACTCTGCGGCTCCGGCGTGTTAATCTGGAACCCTCTTAGCTCTCTGCGAGCTACCCGGGAACCGGAACTGCAGTCACCCGAAAAATACACCAATTGCGGCAGACCTGGTTTCGTGATTCTGGCCAACTCGAGGGCTTCAGGGCCCTACCCCTAACCACGTCCCCCTACCTGGGGTCCTGGCTATACCCGAACCTTCTCACCCACAGCGCCCCGCCATGATACTGTCCTGGTCCGCCGCTCCTACGATCCGAGCGGCAACTACAGCAGGCATTCATTGAGCAGGGACCGACCGTCCCAGCATTCCTCTATGCCTACCACGAAATATTCTTAGAACCCAGAAATGTTCTAAGAACTACTGCAATGTTCTTAGAACATAAGCCCGATGTGTGAAAACACGACGGTCCCAGCCTGAAATGTTCTAAGAACACTTCGTGGAAACCACACAAGATTCTCAGCACATGGCTTGGTAGGCCTATAGGCACGCCAGGACGCTTCGCCACTGCTTCAATTCAGGGGCACTCGGCCCCCCCGCAACAGACTGCATGGCAACGGCGAGGGGGCCGGCCGGCTCAGGGGGAGGCGTGGGGACCATCGCGCCCGCATCGGCGATGCAGCGCCGCCATAGCTGGGCGATGGGCCCCCCGCCGTAGTGAATCCGAGCGCTGCTGGGCAGGGTGGGCTACATCGGGCCCCTGTCGGTGATGAACCGGCGATTGGGGATCGACGCGCTGAGTGGGCCCTGGAAACGACAGGGCCGCTTTTTTACCGGTTCCGTTTGGTCGTATTTTTGCTAGTTCCGACGTCGTTTTTTATCGGTTCCGTCGCCGTTCTTCTGCAGGTTCCCGCTCCGGTTCCAATCCTGGAGCCGTTTTTGTTGCCGTTTTCGGTTGCCGTTTTTTTTTCGGGAACGGTGAGAAAACGGCCCTGCCGTTTCCGGGGCCCACCAAGTCGACGCGCCCCCCACCCTGACGTCGCCCCTGCACGCGGCCGCTGGGATGGGGCGCGACCCGGGGCGGCGCCGACGAGGCCAGCGCCGCCGCGGCTAGACGCTCGCGTCGCCCTCCGAGGCGGGGGGGGGCACAGGAGCCGCGGGGCGACGGCACGCGTCGCTCTCCACGGCGGCCGGGACATCCTCGGGCCAGCAGAACTCGACTGCCACCGAGTCCCCTGGGGAGTAGAGCGCAATGGCGCGAGGCGGGGAGTTACTCGTGACCACCGCCTGGGGGGTCGATCTTCGGAAGCATCGGCACGCGGGTGATATGGATGTATGTGCCCCCCCCCCCAGAGCTGGACTGTATGCCCCCACATCCACCGCCTGCTGGGGTCCCCGAAGATCGATCCCTCAGACGGTGGCGATGGACGAGTCCCCGACTCGCAGATGGCCAATTTCGCCGTCGGGGGCGCGATGATCTTGCCCTCCGCCTTCGTGCGCTGGCCCTCCGAGCCTTCCGTCCTGAAGGTCACCTTCAGGTTGCCGTCCCTGCAGCTTTCCATCAAGACCTCGACCATGAGGCCTGAGTGCCATCTGACAGGCTGCTCCGTCAGGATGCCGAAGAAAACCCCAGTGCCATAGAGGCCGATCAAGCCATCGGCCCCCCACTGGTTGGGGTTCGGGAACCCGCTGGAGCTGCCACGGAGAGCGATGCGCTCAGGGTCGAAGATGGCCACCCCAATACCGTTCTGGGGATCCGCGAGCTGGTTGACGAACAGGCGGGTGCACTGGGTGGACGGCTCCACCACCGCCGTGCAGTTCCAGCCTGCGCCCCCGACCTTCTGGATGGTGGTGCTGTGCACCGCCAGGAAGGAGGGGTCGCTCACCTGGGTCGTGCCGATGGGGGGGCGCCTCCTCGTGCACTGCCTCTTGCAAGCCTCGTCGAGGCACGCAATCTCCGGGGCCGCGATGGCAGAAGAAGAACCCAATGCAGAAACAAAACCTTTCGGAGGTCCACGCGGATTCCTTGGATCGTGGCTGGACGCCCCTGCCCGGAGCGCGGAGCGCGCCATGGGCGGTGCTGGAGGCGCCGCCATGGGGGCCCAGCGCTGATCCGAGAAATCCACACCGAACTCCGAAAGTTCATGCTTGCGCCTTTTTGTTCCTTCTTCGGGATCAGCTCCAGCGCCTGCACGTACTTCTCGTGCGGCACGATGCTGCCCACCAGGGGCTTCACCTCCTCCACGAGCTGCTTGCCCGTCATCTGCCCGTATCGGATGCTGCCGAAGAGCCCCTCGGGCCGGGAGGCGCTGGGCAGGCCTGGGGGGTCGGCCTCCTCGACCGGCTCGCCCCGCCTCTCGACGGCGCGGGCTTCCGACTCCTTGACCCAGTGCCTCGAAGGGGACCGCTACAGTGTCGTATGGAAGATCGATCCCGGGGAGGCTTGTCCAGTGGGGTTGTCCAATGGGGTTGTCCAGAACCCCGCTGGGTTGTCCACGCGATTGCTCTGTCCGGGGTAGACCAACTTATCGTCATTACTCAGCATGGGTTGTCTGGGCTGCCAGGGGGCTTGTCCGGGATTTGTTTGGTCTGGGACTTTTCCGATTGAACGCAAGAGGGGGAACCAGCTCAGGGTAGGGAACATCGAGCTGGAGTCGGCGATGCATCGCCGACAGATCGGCGATAGGCCCCCGATGACAAAGCCGCACGTCCCTGGGTGGGGTGGGCTATTGGGCCCCTATCGGCGATCAGTGAGCGGCCAGGGGCCGATGCACCCCCCCATTGAGCCTTCCCCCTTCACGTTGACCTGGTGCCTGTGCCACCGGACCAGCGCCTTGAAGAGGTCGATCTCGTCTATCCTGGCGTCGTCCGCCTCAAGCACCTTGACCCAGACAGACACGTCCAGGTCGAGGGAACCATCCGTCTTCATCACCTGCTGGGCGTGCGTGAGGATGAAGGCGAGGTATCTGTCGACAATGGAATCCTGCTTGTAAGTCTGGGCCAAGGCCAAAACAGCGCATGCCGTCTCAGGCGAGATCGCGTCCTGCAGGTGCTCGGAAATGCTGCTGGCGAGCGCTCCCATGCCATAGTGGTCTGCGCAGGCCATGAGAGGGACCATCTCCGTGAGCTTCACATCCTCGAGCAAGCCGCTGTAGATGAACCGTAGCAACAATCGCATCGTCGCGGGGGCGAAGGTGTTCACCTCGACCTCCCCGGCCGTGCTCTCCCGCATCGCGCCGAAGAACATGGCGTGGAAGACGGGCGAGCGAGCCGCCAGCAGCGCCCTGTGGGCACACATGCGCTCCCCCTGCACGCAGAGGACCACGTCACTGGTCAGCTCGTTGGCGAGCAACTGGCTGGCCAGGTCGCCGGAGAGGCCCTCCAGGTCCTTGAAGGTGGTGGCCAGGCCCGCGTGGCTGGCCTCCATCGCACCCCGCAGAGGGCCCGCACGTGCTGGGGTCTGCAGAAGGAAAAGAGACGGTGCTGACACAAACCTTCTGAAGTCCGCGCAGATCCCCCTGACCGGCGCTCGACCCCGCTCCCGCGCGCTGGAGGCGCCGCTTGGGAGGGCGCCCGAGGCGCCGCCAGGGGGGCCGGTGCCGATCCAAGAGATATGTGCGGAGCTCTGGAAGTTTATGTTCATGATGTGGGTCTGGAAATTGGCACCAACTCTAGCACAGGGGGGCCTCCACTGCCTCCACGGGGGGAAAATGATCCTGGATCTTGGTGCTGGGGATAATCCCTCGGCCGTAGAATCCCTGAGATCACCAACGCCACCGAGGACAGGATCATCCACCCTCGGTGGAGGCAAGTGACCAGCCGTGGTGCCAACCTATGCCTTAGGCCTCCGAACGTATGTGGCGGGCTCCCGAAACCCTGAAACCAAGAACGGTGGGCGCCACCTCTCGGGGGGAGGAGGGGGAGGAGGAGGGCAGAGGAGGAGGAGGAGGAGGAGGAGGAGGAGGAGGAGGAGCATCTTCTGCTCCAACTGGCTTCCGCTGGCGGAGACGCCCCCGTCTGGCTCCCGCCGCCCTGCCGCCGAGGAGGAGGTGCCAACTCCTTCGCGCCTGCCCTGGCTCCCGCGCGCCTGCCTGCCCTGGCTCCCGCCTGCCCTGGCTCCCGCGCGCGCGCCGAGAGCGCACGCCTCGCGGCCCGCGCTCGAGGAGCGGGCAGCCCGCGGAGCGCTGGCCTCTCGAGGAGCCAAGAGGCGCGGCCACGATGGCCGGGCGTGGGCGGCCTCGCAGAAGGCCTGCAGGCCCCTGCACGCCTGTCGCGAGCTCACGCCGCGACGACGCTGGCCGAGGTGCAGCGTCGGGGGAGGGGGAGGGGGTGGGGGAGGGGGAGGAGGGGGAGGGGAGGGGAGGAGGGGAGGGGGAGGGGGAGGTGGAGGGGGGAGGGGAGGGGGGGGGAGGGGGAGGGGGAGGAGGAGGAGGAGGGGGGATCTTCTGACCCGGGTCAATCCAGACCCGGGTCAGCAGGAAACCAAAAAACTGCAGTGCAGGAAAAACAACTGCAACGCAGGTCTTCGCAAACACGGGTCAGCCAATAGGCGCGGCCGCCTCGCGGTCACGCACGGCTCGCTAACCCTGGTCAGCCAGAGGGGGTCTTCGCAGGATCCTGCAGGATCCGGTGCCCTGGCTGAGCCCCGTCTGCATTGACCCCCGTCTCAAGGCTCCCGACAGAGACGCGAAGCGCAGTCTCCGGCCGGCGTGAGGACTGAGGAGGTCGTGGAGGAGGAGGGAAGCACGATGATGGAGACGAGGGTCAGAAAGGGGAGGAGGCGGACTTGACCCTCCCCGAGACAGGTACGTCAACTCTCGCACTCCATCACACCCTCCAATGTCCTTCAACCACACACTCTGTCCCTCTCTATAGGCCTGCTCCCTCCTGGCTCCTCCTCCGCCCAGCCTGAGAGAGCAAGGCGGAACCCGAACTGAGCCAGAGGGACGGCGTGAGGTCTTGTAAGCTTGGGTCCTGCGGGGATGTGAATCTCAGTGAGTATCGTTTAACCGATCCCCATCCCCAGCGGCGTGGCCTGGGCCCCACTGGCCGATTTACCCCCCTAGATGGGGATATAGTATAGGTCGTTCCCTTCGGGTTTCGAGGGGTGTATCCCCAACTGGGGCGGTAATTTGGTGGGGATTTCGAAGGGGATGGGGATGGGGATGTGGATCGGTGAAGCGATAAGTCCCAAGGAGAACCCGATATCCCGCATGGCCCGCTTCAGAAGCCCTGCGCCTCAAAAACATGATTTTCGTCCTGCGGATTGAGCGGGGGCCGACCGTCCCGGCATTCCTATAGTCCTACCACGAAATGTTCTTAGAACCCCTAAATAGTTCTAAGAACAAAAGCAATGTTCTTAGAACATTAACCCTGTGCGTTAAAGCAAGACGGTCTCAGCCAGACATGTTCTAAGAACATCTCGTGGAAACCACAAAAGGTTCTCAGAACACTGCTTGGTAGGGCTACAGGCGAGCCAGGACGCTTCGCCACTGCTTGAGCGGAAGGGCGGCACTCGCCAGCTGGCACCCCGCACGGGGCGCCGCCGCCCCCGCCTGGCCTCCGCAGTGGTCGGGGGAGCGCAGGCCGGCCCCGCCGACCCCTGGAGCGCGGAACCCTGCTGGGGCCGATGGTGGCCCAGAACAGATGGTTGAGCCTGTCTTAAACCACCACCACCACCACCACAGGCTGGATGGGGGGAAGGAGGAGGAGGACGAGGAGGCGGAGGACGAAGAGGAGGAGGAGGCGGAGGACGAAGAGGAGGAGGAGGCGGAGGAGGAGGAGGAGGAGGAGGAGGAGGAGGACCCCCTCCCCCTCCAACTTATGGTGGTGGTGGTGGAAAACACGCTCATCAACAGATGTTCGCGCCAGCGTGTGCTTGCCCACTGGCACCCTTCCATGCGACGCAGGCGGTGAGATGGGGGCCTGCCTGCGTCGGCTGTGTGCCTGCCATCGGCTGAGCTGAAGGGGGCACACACACACACACACTGGGATAACACACGCCCGGAGTCCTGAGGATCATCGAAGCGCCCCGCGTCGCCGACTCATTTTGGGGGCTTGGCTTGGGCGCCCCTCATCCCTGCAGCCTTCCTCTGATTGCCCCCACGGCAACGCAAGCCGATGACGCAGGCTCGGGCTCTCTGAGCCTTGTCACTCGCAACGCACACGTGCGAAAGCGTGAAACTGGAGGGTAGGAGGACGACGACCACGACGAGGGGGACAGGGTGAAGAAACTCTCTTCTGAAGGGGAACGTCATGGGGGGACAGGCACAGGGGGGAACATCGAGCTTGAATCGGCGACACATCGCCGATGGATTGGCGATAGGCCCCGATAGCAAATCCTCACGTTCCTGGAAGGATTGGGCTGCCAGGTTCCTATCGGCGATGAATGTGCGATTGGGGTCGATGCATCCCCCCCCGAGCACATCACCCGTAGTATGAGCCCCAGAGGGAGGGACGGGGCGAGGAAACTCTCTCCATGAACACGAGGAACAAAAATTGCACAACCTTTTCATTCCGGCGGTCCGTGCGGACCTCTTGGATCTGCGCTGGACCCCCTCCCTGGCGCGCGGAGCGCTCCAGGGGCGGCACAGGAGGCACCGCCAGGGGGCCCCAACGCCGATCCAAGAACTCCGCGCGGACCTCCAAGAAATTATGTTTATTATTATGCAGTTCGTTGTTCTTCGACCAGAGGGAGGGACGGGGTGGGGAAAACTCTCCCTCCTGCGAGGCGGGGATTTATTCATATCCACCGCCTGGGAACCGACGTCCTGGCGCCCCGGCGGGCGGTGGATCTGGATACACGTTGGCCCCCGGGGTCCGAACATGTCCATATCCGCCGCATGCCGAGATCCCCGAGAATTGATCCTCCAGGCGGTGGTCATCTATGCCTTCCCGCCTCGGCGCCTCCGGCCTGCGCCCACCCCGGAGGAGGGGCCCCACCCCGCGGGGCGCGCCTTCGCCGAGCTCCGGCGGGTCCCGCCGCGCAGCCTCCGGGGGGGGGGCAGCGGCGAGGCCCCGGGGCCCCTCAGACCATCACAGCTCGGTCCAGCTCGACGCACGCAGCAGAAAGGTGGGGCCTGGGGAGCAGGTCGGGCATGTCCTCCTACTGGCGGACTTTGAACGAGAAATAAAAAATGTCAAACAATACCCCCAAAAGGTAAACAACAAAATTACCCTGTGACGTACCCAACCCATTTGTATCATGGGAAACGAGGAGTTGGCCGAAACTTGCACGGACAATCAAATTGCAGGATCCGTTGTTTGATATGTAAGCTACTTGGGACACGCGCCAATGGCATGATGCGCAGGAGAACCATACAAGAACGAGGGGCGACAACTACAGGCTCGAAGAGGACATGGGGAGTCGGGAACGAAGAGCAGAAAAAAGACGTGCGGGAAGCCCACTGTGCTGGGCCCCCCAGCAGCCCTCGAAAGTGGCGACAGTTTCACAGATCGCAGCCCCCCAGGGATGGCGAGGTCCATTTGAATCCGCCGTGGGTGCCCACTGTGCTGGGCCCCCCAGCAGGCCTCGAAAGTGGCGACAGTTTCACAGATCGCAGCCCCCCAGGGATGGCGAGGTCCATTTGAATCCGCCGTGGGTGCCCACTGTGCTGGGCCCCCCAGCAGGCCTCGAAAGTGGCGACAGTTTCACAGATCGCAGCCCCCCAGGGATGGCGAGGTCCCATTTGAATCCGCCGGGTCACTGTGCTGGGCCCCCCAGCAGCCTCGAAAGTGGCGACAGTTTCACAGATCGCAGCCCCCCAGGGATGGCGAGGTCCATTTGAATCCGCCGGGGTGCACACTGTGCTGGGCCCCCCAGCAGGCCTCGAAAGTGGCGACAGTTTCACAGATCGCAGCCCCCCAGGGATGGCGAGGTCCCATTTGAATCCGCCGCGGGTGCCCACTGTGCTGGGCCCCCCAGCAGGCCTCGAAAGTGGCGACAGTTTCACAGATCGCAGCCCCCCAGGGATGGCGAGGTCCCATTTGAATCCGCCGTGGGTGCACACTGTGCTGGGCCCCCCAGCAGCCCTCGAAAGTGGCGACAGTTTCACAGATCGCAGCCCCCCAGGGATGGCGAGGTCCCATTTGAATCCGCCGCGGGTGCACACTGTGCTGGGCCCCCCAGCAGCCCTCGAAAGTGGCGACAGTTTCACAGATCGCAGCCCCCAGCAGCCCTCGAAACGCAGCGACGAGCCAGGTAAAAGGCAGGGGGGGAGAGAGGGGCGGGAAGGCGCAAGCAGTGCTCTATTCAAAACGAAAACCCAACGCAGGAAGGTTGGGAAAAAAACAAAAAGCGTCCTCAGAGCATGTTTTACGGGGGCCTCAAATTCTCAAATTTCCTGGGCGTTTCCGCGCGTTCTTGGACTGCCTCGCACGACTTTTCCATAGGCCAGAGGGCCCCAAGACGGGCAACGGGGACCCCAC